GTTTTCAGGAATCATTTTTTTATTTGGGATCCTATGAACAAGTTTTTAAGTTCTGCTTTTTACAATTTTAACAAATGATTATCAAATTTTTAAGGAAAAAAAGCATCATTTAACTACAAAGTAACACCTGGTTAGCAAAGTCCAAATTACTGTTTATAAACACACAATCTTCAACAATTTTTCTCAATAAACGTAAATTTAAATTTAGAAAAAATTTATTTAAGAAAATATTTTTATAGTTACAATTTATTTAAGAATATAGATTAAAATAATTGTCAGACTTAATCCATTTCATTATATGTTGTCATTGTTTATGTTAAGATACATGAGCAGATATAATCAATCAAGAAAAGTCATCAAAATTTGTGTGTTTATAAACAGCAATTTGGACTTTGCTAACCAGACACTTCTCTGTAGCTAAATGGTATAGCACGTCAGATCAAATGATGGTTTCCATATAGGTATAAAGGTTCGATTCCTGGCAAAGAACATATTTTCTACAAAATTTCTTGAACATTCAGGACAATAAATGTAATTATGCTATTTAATTAAAGACAGAGCATTTACTTAAATAAAATGTATCTATAAAAATAACGTATAAACAGAAAATATATTAAAATAATTGTCAGACTTAATCAATTATGTGTGTGTGTGTGTGTGTGTGTGTGTGTGTATTTGTTGGTGGTTTTGGTGAGTATATTATACGTATTTACCAGTTACCCTTATTATAATACAATGGATTAGCAGAGGTAGGAATAAAATCCCAGGTCACTGAACATTCAATAACTATCACCTGGAGAATGTATGCATATCATGCAGGAAACTGACAGTCATAGTTAGACCTGCACCAGGAAGATTATGATTAATATAATATGCTCTGTCATTGAAGAACTGAGCTCTCTTTTTTTTTCTGGGATGTCATTTTAAATGTTCTCCTTTTGAGAGTTCCTTGCATTTTTTGTGTTTTAAATATATATATATATATATATATAATAAACATATATAAATCTCTTGCATAATTATTCACCCCCTCAAAACTTTTCCACATTTTGTAGTATTACTAACTGAAATTCAAATTGACTTAATGTTTTTTACCATTAGATCAACACAAAATGCACAGTGTCACAGAGAATTAAATACTTGGAAACAACTATATGCATTTAATATGCTGTGAAGGCTTGTAAGGTTAAGCAGATGAACACTCATGTCCAACAGCATGTCTTCTTTGTCTGAACAGCATGTTTTCTTTGTCTCCAATTATGACAATAATATTAATTTGACTTTTTCATCTAACAAAATTCTGACTTTAAGTGGTGCCATCATGTTAAGGAATTCGATACTGATTCTGGAGAAAACAGGAAAGGAATGATATATACATGTAAGTATAAGGAAGAAATGACATGAGAACAGGAAATGCTGCTTTTTTTTTGGTTCAAAGAAATTGAGAAAAGTGTGTGTAAGTAAATATATATAGTTCGGAAAAGGAAAAAGTTAAAAAAGAAAAATAAAGTGAAAGAAGGGGAAGAAGAAATAGAAAGTAGAGAATAAAGGAAAAGAACAAAAATGTGGCAGAAGCAACAATGTTAAAGAAAAGATCATTCTGCACACTGTTCCTAGTATTATCATGGCTCTTCCCAACTTCCTATGTTTTAAAGCTCTTAGCAATGTTTGTCTTTTTGCCATCCATTTGCACAATTTGCAAAGTAGATTACTCTCTGATTCTCTCTGCCTTCAATATGTCGTGTAAGTCTCAGATTCTTCAGTCCTTTTTTCCTCATTGTCTCTTCAAGAGTCTCTTTCTGATTTTAAGTTTGTGTCTTTTTTGTTCCATTTTCCTTGTTGCTCACATGTTCCATATCCTCAGCATCCTTTAGTGGAACCATATCTCTGCTGATTCAAGTTTCCTCGTGAAATTTATTGCCACATTGGAGGATTGATATTACATTGTAGATGACATTATGCCAAGGCAAATGTAGATAAATCATAAGAAAATGGAAAATGTCTTCAATTTGGTGTTAAAAATAAAAGATTGAGAAAAATGCAACAAACTGACATTGTTGAAGTTTTCATGACTATATATGAAGAAGAGTCTCCTGGAAATTGTTCAAACAACTTGAATTCCTTCAAATAAATGGTTTATAATGATGGAATTGGTTATGTATCGTGTGACTTTTGTTTCATGCAGGACAACTTTGAAGAAAGAGTGAATAACAAGGCAAAACATTGTGTTTAACTGCAGAAATCCATGATGGCACACACTCTATTAGTAGCTGCAGGCACTATACTTTATTGGAATGTGATTGGTGTATATCAATAGTTACAGAGGAATCAACTCTACATCTCCCATCTCAAGGTATGAGAATGATAATTTTCATTGACAGAAGTTGGACAATCTTTTTAGTTTATAGATAAAAATATTTATATAGTCTGTCATTAAGATATGACATACAAACAATTGCAAGGGTAGACAACTCCCATGTTTCTAGGATAGGCATTATTGTGAAGGTTATTAAATTTCTGTTCTGTATCTAATGGGTCCTGTTTGTGACTTCTTGTTACAATTCTGCCAGCTTCTGAAGGGATCTGCTCAACATTATCTGACCAGGTTACTTCTTTATATAGTCAGATATGATTGATAATCTTCTATTTGGAGATAGAAATAAAAGGATGCAACAAATTTAAAATAAAAATAGGCTTTATAAGAATATATAAGTTAATATGATTGGGTAGGAACAGTAAACTTCTGATGCTATTTCCATGACAAATGTTCAGGTGAGCTACATTTCACTAGTTTAGATCTTTACAACTAAGATCCACTATGCCACATACACAGGATCAAATTATCCTTATTCCTTTTGTTATAAAGACATTGTTATGGTAGAATGAAAGAACAAATGAAACCATCAGTCAGACAAAAAGAAAAGAAAACAAGAATTGTATATATAAAATTCTTCTATATTTCCAATACAGTGATGTGAGCAGAATATCTTTAAATGTAGGTGAGGTGTAGCAATTTGGAGGAGGGTTGATCTTGACTATGTGTGTTGGGTCAGTTGACCAAGGTTATGGTGGTGATGTTGAGAGCCTGCAGGGCATTGACAGCTGGCCTGTTGGCCACATTCTGTCCTACTCATTTATGAGCGACTTTCTTAAAAGCAAATCTGGTTGCTCCTGAGTTCACCTATTTTCTTTGGTAAAAACATTTGTAGTTGGCTATTATATTTTTTTTTTTTTTTTAGGGTTTGTAATACTTGGAACCCCTGCCCAGAGTATGAATTTTTTATTTTGGATTTTTTTCTATAGTGCTCACGTCTGGCTGACATGTAGAGTGAATCAGAATGAGATCTAATTTGCAGCAGAGTATGATACTTTCATATTTCATTTATAAATAATAAGTTCCACTTGGACAGCTTCTTCCCAAGAATTATTACTTTGTGGAACAGACTCTTTAGAAGATGTTTCCTCTGGTCATTATGATCTTAAACTCTTCAAGTCTAGAGTTCACTGCTATCTATCCTACAGATCTTCATAATGTGCACTTCATTCAGTAACCTTCTACTTTGAGGTGTTCTTGGGTCTTGTGATTTGAGTAAACAATAGAAGAAAATAATAACTGGTCTTCAATCATATAAATAAATGGTTTATAACACTGGAAACATCATAGCTTGGAGTTCTAAAGGATCTAATGGCACTGCATTTCATTTTTTAAAATCATAAATGCTAAAGATTGTCACAGTAGTGATGTATTTTATATTGTATAAATTTTATTAAATATTTTAGGGTCAACAGTCGTTTTGTGCAATGAGGTGGACTGGGCTTTATAGTTATATATGCAGCCAATGCAATGATGACACGGCATCTCTGGCTGGAAGACTTCCTAGACAGAAATCAATGGCCAATGTAAAGGATTTCCCCAATGGAATCAGCAGCCACATAACCATGACTAAAGTGAGCCTTTAAGTTGGAAGGCATCATCTATGGTTTCACTTGTTTCTCAACATACCCAAGACACACTATGCATAAATGACTGTAGAGGGAACTGGTCAGGAGCTCAGCTGTACAGCAACACTATGATCACACCTGGTCATCGGATGGATGATGACTGAAAGAAAACATTTGGCTATCACTCAAATGCTCAAGAAAAATAATTATGTTCAAGTATGATAATGAACTGAATATATTTCCAGCAAGATAAAAGAGACTTACTTTAAAAGTAAATAACTAATTTTAGAATAAAATCTATTAAAGAAATATAACATTTTTAAATGAGAAAGTTCATATACAGAATTTAATTCTAAAATGGATAAAGTTTTATTTAACAAAAGAAAATGTAAAGTAAATAAAGATAAGAAATAAATCTGAAACAACGATAATGATTAGATGAGGATGAAAAATGCAAAAAAAAAAGAAAGCAATAAGAAAAACATAACAAAATTAAATAAAGACTAAGGAAAATAAATGAGGGTCAGGTCAAACAAAATGGCTGACTCACCTCTTGAGAGACAAAATGGAGGTCATTGAAAGTTAAAATAAGATGCTGACCTGCACTTGAAAACTGAGGTCAAAAAATGATAAGACTTCCTTCTTTTCTTTAAACCATTATTTTTTTTTTTTTAATAAACCTGTTGAGTTGAGGTAATAGTGCAAGAGGCAGAAAATTTCTATTCAAGGGAAGGAACTGAGTAGACTTTGTTCATATAAGCAGAAAATTGGCTGCTGTAAGAAATTTTGTAGAGAAAACATTTTTAGCTCATTGAAAATCATGAAATGTTCTTTATATATATATATATATATATATATATATATATATATATATATATATATATATATATATATATATACACACACACACTCTTATTTCTGACATTCTTTTTACGTATTCTTATTTTATTATTTCCATATTTGCTTTAATTTATTGTTATTTAAGATTTCTTTTGCACTTTTTTGTGAATATTTAATTCTATTTTCTTTTTATTTTACATTTGTCTACATACTTTCTGATGGCTTTCTTCCATTTGTGTACACTTTCTATTCCTGTCTTTTTATTTACTTCTTTCTTGTCATCTTTTCTATTTCTACTCCTTTCTTTTTCATTTACTGCTTTTCTTTGTTTTCTTACACAGTTTCTGCTTTTTTTTTCTTTTTATTTGCTCTCTCTCTTTAATCTTTTATCTTTCCCTCTTATAATTCCTCTGTTTTCTTTCCTTTTCTTTCATTTTATTCTGTTTATTTACTTTTTCTTCATTTTTGTTTTCTTTTTGCTTATTTTTTATTTACTGTCTCTTTTTTAATTCTTTCTTTTTCATTTTACATTTACTGCCTCATTTTTTGCTTCTTTTTTTAAATTTTATTTACTTCCTCATTCTTCCTTACTTTTATTCATTTCTTTTCATTTACCTTTCTCTTTCATCTTTTGTCTTCTTTTTCCTTTTACTCTTCCCTTTTTTCTTTTTAATTTTCACTTGCTTGCTCTAATCCGTCTTCTTTTGCCATCATTTTTCTTTCTGTCTAAATTAGGTTACAAGTAATACCCTTTGCTCCAGAATCCTTACCAATCTTCCATTCTAACATCAAAGACATTTCATTTAATTAGTTCTGTATGAATCAATGACGCCAAAGCTTGAATAAGCCATGGTTATTACACAAGATGTTCTCTGCAAATTATTATTATTATTATTATTATTATTATTATTATTATTATTATTATTATTATGGCACTTGTACCTTCCTCTATTGAATCTGTTCTGAGATTTTTTTGTTTCTTTATCAAAACCAGATGCTATTTAGACATTGATGGTCTAGAAATTAACAGGTTTTTAACACTATAGTTTATGGGATCAGATGTATTTAAATATTACATAATTACATAATATATTATTATATAACTAAATATATAATTAAATATTATTTAATTGTTTTGCTAATTATCTAATATGTAATTATATAATTACATAATTAAAAATGCAATTACATAATTTTGTAAAGTTGTAATTAACTGCATGTAATCATATACTAGATAAGTATTTTATTATTTAACACTTTAATTATACAAATAAATATGAAATTTAATGTAATATGTAATCATATTTTTTGTGATCAAACTAATTTATCTCCCTTTAACAAGATTTGAATTATTTCAGATTAGGCAAAATTTTTCTAAAGTACAATTTCCTGTTTATTTTTGTTTCTTTTTCGATTTGACGTGGGCAATCATTGTATTTAATATCCCACCCATGAGGAATATATGTGGCACGAGACCAAGATTAAAGTGGGTTTCTCCGAGCCCGTAGGCTCGGCCAAAAATATGCCCTTTGAACCCGCCTAGACGGGTTCAGGGCCTGTCTACCTCCCCGGACGAAACCTTCAGCAAAGCTTCGTCCGGGTTCCTCTCTGCCAAAGCAGAGAGTTCAACAGTCATGACCTGGTGCTCGTTACACCATTCATTGGGCAATCATGGCTCCCCACAACATCCTATCCTTTGTAGCTCTTAGTAAGGTTTTTCATTTTGCTATGGATAATCTCTTCATAGATGGAGAGACTTGAGACAAATGTAGTTCTACAGAAGGATGCTGAGAATACCACAGACTAAACATGTGAGCAATGACAAAGTTTTAGTGAAAATGGAAATAAAAAAAGACACTTTTACTTGGAATCACAAAGAGAGAATTGAAATTTCTAGGAAACATAAGGAAAGAGAGCTTGGAGACTTTGATATTCACAGGATATGTTGAAGGAAAAGGGGAAACAGTGAATAACCTACCTAACAAGCTTGTATAAATGGAGTAGGGATTAGGGGAGATTAATAAATGCTTACTTTTAGAAATTATATGATTGATAATGGGAAACATCAATGCAAAGACTTACTCTGAAATGTTTCTTAAGGTGAATAAAATTGACAGCCACAAACAATCAAACATTTTAAGAAAGAAAACCAATGTATATGTGATTTAAGAAAAATGGTTTATATCTTTTGGAAAAAATGGTTTTTGAATTAAAAGTTTTAGGAAGAATGTATTTCTTTTATAATCTATTGTAACAGCTCCTCATAAGAATTTAAAGGAAGTGGCCTATCCAAAGGTCTCATTAATGGCACTGCTTGAACCAGCATGTAACGTGTCCTCTGATTGGTCAATAGAGAGGCCAATGACAGTCCTGCCTCATTTCCACCTTAATGGACAATTAAAAACACACTCTCTCTCTCTTTCATGGACTACTGGTGCTTGATGGATGAAGATGTGCTGAGCTGGACCCTGACAAACAAAAGAAAACTTTATTTCAGCATGCGCCTTTCTTCATGTATCCCCTTCAAGTAACAGTATGTACCATTTTAATATATATCTCCAGTTGTTTAGTGATATATTTGAATTTCAGGTTATTTCAATTTTCTTGTTGTGTACCTGTTATTAGAACTTTCATAAGACTCCAGCAAGTTATAACCCCCACATTTTCACACTGGTAATTGTGTCTGCAACACCATTAAGGTAAAATATTAAGAATGTAGTTTATAATCCATGATAAAGTAACAGTCTTTAACTATAGCCTGTCAGTAACAGCCTAGTCACCAATAAAGGTTAAGAAGAAATTTGTTAGGATTGGATCTCTTTACCTGATTTCAGATCTGATGTTTTCAAGATTTATTTCTTGAAACTATATGTTTTCTTTTTTTTTTTTTTTTTACTGTTTCAATTATTAAAGTCTACTTTATGTTTTTAAGCAGACCAGATATTGTTTAGTGAACTCTTGTATTCAGTGCTATGAGTTTAAGTCCTCTGGTCATCTGCCATATATGGTCTGGTACCCTTGCTCTTCATTTTAAGGTCCTCAACAAAATCCAGAGATAGATATGCAATGCAATTGGCCCTGATCTAGCATCTTGTCTACAGTCACTTTCTCACAGACATGTCATCGCCTCCCTCTGTCTTTTCTACAGATACTTTCACCGTAACTGCTCTGATGAGCTACTTTCACTGGTTCCAAAACTGCATGAATTTAAACATGCTACTAGGCTGGCATCTCAGTCCCACCCTTTCATTGTCAAAACGGTTAAATGTAACTGTCTCTTTTACTCCAATAGCTTCATGTCTTGCACCTCCCATCTGTGGAATTTCCTTCCTATTTCTTATTTCCCTAATAGCTATAACCTCCAATTATTCAAATGTAATGTCAATCGACATCTCCAGATGCCTTGATCTAGTCCCTGTCCTTCTCTTCATTCTTTCCTCTATCACACTTTTTTACTCTCGCTCTGACTCTCTGTAACCCCTTGTGTGCTAGTGGCACCCCACTTTGCTTGGGGTGAAATGCTTAAAAAAAAAACAAAAAAAAAAAAACAAACCATAACCCTTTCCAGATTTAATTTATTTCTAAGTTTTACAAGTTTTAAGATAAATTAAGTTTATGAACTATTTACACGTGTTTATACCATGAAACTGAATGAAATAAAATATCTCTATCATGATGAAGCTGCTAGATCTAGATCAGTGGTTCCCAAACAGTTTGGTGCACCACATAGATGTGGCGGACAAGGATAGTCAGTGAGGTGGAATAATTGAAACATTTAGAAGTAGCTTCAAAAAATTCATATATCAGAAATAAACATATTAAAATTGAAAATATTATATGGATTACTTGTAATTGCATGCATGAGTCCCAGTATAAATAGTTATAAATAATTATTGACTGATTTTATCATTGGGATATTTTTGCATTATATCAAGTATTAAGAATATAGTTATCTCCTTTTAGCCTTCTCTCTGGACCTTCTATGCCCTAGGGATGCTTTTGTCTTTTCACTGGGATTTTAACAAGGATGTTTAGTTCTGACAAATATCAAAAGCCAAAAAAGGGAAAGGTTTCTTTGTATTGATGAGGAGATGAGTATTTGTTTATCTCAAATTAGGCCTAATATAAAGGAGATTATTCATCAAAAACAAGCTCATACCTTTCATGAAATTTGTGTAATTATTAACTGTGTTATATATTTAGCACACTATTAGTTATTTATTTATTTTTAATTGTACCTTCTATCATATAAAATTTGGTGAGACTTGAAATTTTCATTCTGAAGATGCAGCCCAGAGAACAAAAGTTTGGGTCTGGAGTCCCCACTGCTGCCATATCTGGTCTGGAGCCGCTGCTGTTCAACTTAAGGTCCTCAACAGAATACAGAGATGGATATGCAATGTGATTGGCCCTGATCTGGCATCTTGTTTACAGTCGCTCTCTCACCAACATGCTGTCGCCTCCCTCTGTCTTTTCTGTCTACAAATACTTTCACGGTAACTGCTCCGATGAGCTATTTTCACTGCATGAATTTAAATGTGCAACTTGGTTGGCATCTCAGTCCCACCCTTTCACTGTCAAAATGGTTAAATGTAGCTGTCTCTTCTACTTCAATAGCTTCATGTCTCGCACTTCCTGTCTGTGGAACTCCCTTGGTCTTACTTGCTTCCCTGATAGCTATAATCTCCAACTATTCAAATGCAATGTTAATCGGCATCTCCAGAAGTGTTGATCTATTCCCCATCCTTTTCTTCATCCTTTCCTCAAACACCCCTCTTTACTCTTGCTCCCCCTCTCTCTTCCCCCTTGCATGCTAGTGGCACTCCCACCTTGCTTGGAGTGAAATGCTTAGGAAAAAACTTACTGGGAACAAACTGCCTGCACACAGATGGAAAATGAACTGAACAAGAATAAATAGAAAGGAGTCATAAGACAAGGATGTGTCTTCTTACCAGATTTATTTAACTTTTACAGAGAGGTAATCTGAAGAGAACTAGAAGTTCTAGCAGGATTTATTAGTAGTGGAGAAATCTTAACAACATAATGCACAGAAAATACAGTGTTGATAGAACTCCTAGATAAGGTAGTAAAGGAAAGTGGGAAGAAAGGACTAATCATCAATTGTAAGAAGACAGGATCTATTCTTGTTAACAGCTCAAGATATGAACTATGAATTGAAGATGTCAAAATCAAGCAAGTACATAAATTTAACTATCTTGAAAGTGTTATAAACAATGGAAAATGTAATACAGAAATTCAAAGGCATATTGAAATAGCAAAAGATGTCTTCCAAAACCTAAAGTATTAAAAAACAGGTAAATGCTGTCAGAGACAAAGAAAAGAGTTCTAAACTCCTATGTAGTATTAAACTCTTCTATACAACAATGAATACTGGATAATTTCCTCAAAGAAAAGAAGACTTGAGGCAAAAGAGATGCAGTTCTACAGAAGGATACTGAGAATACCATGGACAGGGCATGTTAGCAACAAGAAAAT